TTTAGAAAACGTACTTATTAGTTTGTTGGAAGTGCTCTGAACTGGATCAATTTGTTCAGCATGGTCGTAGCAATGTAACTTGTCAACTGGCACGAGGATTATCTTACAGTGAGGGAAGGAAGTGGGATGTACGGGAGAAGGGGGGAGTAAGAGAGGAGGAGTGGGGGAATAATCATTTCGGAGGAGGGAGTAGGTTTAAAATTGGTAGGTATTCTTCAGATAGTAGTTCTGTGTCTGATTGTTAAGAGAATTGACCTGTCTTTTTATGTGTATCATCTCTGAGATCAATCTTTTATGGTATGAAGGTTCCTCGTCAAGAATAGAAACGCTTTCCCAATCAAATTCATGTGAAGCGTCCATTCTATGGCAAGATATGACAGAGGGGGATGCGAGATTCCTTTTAATGTCGTTGTAGTGTTCCTTGACTCTGGTTCCTAATTGTCTTTTTGTTTGACCAACATATGTGGCATCACAGTCCTTGCAAGGGATCTTATACACCACATCACTATGAGCTAACTTTTCTAGTTTATCTTTGCCAGTCTTAATGAATCTTCTGAGAGGATGGTGGCAGGAGTAAGCTATTCTAAATTCAGATTTGCTTACTATGTTAGCGAATCTTTCGGAAAAGGACTTTACATAAGGAACCGAGAAAAAAGTTTTCCTTTCCTCCCCAGGAGGTTCCTCCCTCCTTTCTACACCGGCATTGTTCATCTTTTTAGAAAAATGTAGTTTGAGTCTATTGTTGATGGAAGAGAAAATAAAAGATAGTGGATAGCAATTATTTAACAGAATCTGAATGATAAATTTGAAATTTTTTTCATGGAATTGAGGGTGAGACAGAAGTAAGATTTTGTCAACCAGACTGAAAATGACGCTCCTTTTGTGGCAGAGCGGATGGTGTGATCTGAAGTTAAGATACCTGCCGGAAAAAGTTGGTTTGTGGTACCAATCGAAATATATAGTGTTCTGTCTCACCATAATGGAAACATCAAGGAAATTAATTTGATTGTTTGAACTGATTCCGAGGGTGAACTTTAATCTTTTGTGGAAGGAATTGAAAACGTTGAGAACATGATCAAATGCGTCCGAGGGGGCGGCCAGCAAAATGTCATCGACATATCTATAATATATTGGTAGAGTACAGGAAAGTTTCTTTAAAGCCGCCTCCTCTAAGTCCTGAAGAACAATGCTCGCAACGATAGGAGACAGAGGGGAGCCCATCGGAGTACCGAAAATTTGTTTGTATACTTGATTATTGAACTTAAAATAAGTTGAGTTCAACACCAGCCGAATGCCAATGAGAAACTCCTCGCAAGTTAGAGGGGTGTGGCCAGAAATACTGTTCCATCTATTTTTTAAACTATGTATAACTGAGTCCAGTGGTACGTTCGTGAATAGAGAAATAACATCGAGAGAAGCCAATTGGTAATTTGGTTCTAATTCGATGTTACACAATTCATCGACCAGTTGAAAACTATTTTGTATATGACTCTTGGGTGGATCAATATTTTTTTGTATTATTTTATGTAAAAAATCAGCGATGTTAAAGAGAGGACTGTTGACAGATGAAACAATGATTCTGAGCGGACATTCTAATTTGTGCACCTTCGGTAAGCCGTACGCTCTTGGAAGTACGCCGTCTGTAGACAGTAGTGATTTGTAAGTTCTCTCCGAAATGTATTCGTTCCTCCTCCGTCTGACCAATAGATCCCGTAATTCCCTCATTAAACCTTTAGATGGATCCTTCTTAATGGTGATGTAAGTGTCCGTGTCTGATAATAATTCGTCCATCTTGATATGGTAATCAGAAACCTTCATCGCCACGGTGATATTACCTTTGTCGGCTCGAGTGAAAAGTATTTCCGGGTGATCTTTGACGAATTGTTTAGTGGCATTCAACCAAGTTACAAGAATGGTATCTACAGAATCTTTTTTTATGCCGCTAGTAATGAAATCATTAATGATCGATGTGGAGTGACTTCTAACAGAATGCTGTATCGCTGCGTCTACCTTACTAATGTTCCTCTCGATATGCTTAATGTACTCAACAACATATTTCTGTTTATTGTTAAAAGTAACTGGCATGTTAAACCGATCTCCGAGTTGTAAGAGAAATCTAACCTGCTCAGGGATAGGAACATCGGTAAGATTTTTAAACCATTTTTCATGTAGAGTATCTATTGGAACATTAAGCTGAAATTCTTGTGGAGATATATGAATAGAAAATTTGTCACTATTAGTAGAGATTTGATCTGGTACTGAGTATTTTATAGGTTGTATGTTATCTCTGATCACAGCATTCTG